TCTTGAAATTTATTTTTTTTAAATTAATTTTTAAAATTTCAATGTATTTATTTGTTGTTAGAAAAGTTAGTCAATAAAAACTATTTTTCAGTAAAAAAAATTATTTTAGTTTACATAAAAATATTTTTCTGAAAAATTTGAACGGAAAACACTTTCTAAAAGTTGTGAAAAATTTAAAAATATTATATTATTCGTTAATTATATTAAATTTGATCCTCAAACTTTTGATTCTATATATATTTTATTTTGAATATTTTTTTTTCAATTTTATCTCTTAAAATTTAATTTTTATATTAACCTTAGTCATTATTTTTATAATTATTATTTGTTTTTTCTTTATCATTTTTTTATTGAAATTTTTTATGTATCAAATTTGATTCTCATTCTTTTAATTGTTACTTATTTTATTTAAATTAATTAATGAAATGTTAATTATTATTATTATTATAATTTTTTTATCTTTTTATTTTTTAGATTTGATCTCTATTATTTTAATTATTATTTATTTTATTTGAGATAATTTATGAAATTATATATTTTTTAATTTCATTCTCATTTAACTTTTAATTTGTAAAATTTATTCCTCGTTATTTTAATAAACTTGAAAAAAGTAAAACATCAATAAGTTATTTTTCAAATCATTTTTCATGATATAACAAAATATTGGAAAATATTTTTTAATTTATTTTTTTCCAGATTATTTTTCATGATATAACAAAATACTGGAAAATATTTTTTAATTTATTTTTTATTATATTGCCAAATATCATAAAATAACTCATTTTTTTGGAATTCATTTTCTTAAAATTTCTTTTTTTAAAAAAATTATTTTCTAACAAAAATAAACATAGTATAAATAAATCTTTAGTGCCTTCTGCAAATATATAAGAATGCTATTGATTTTAGCTCAACAATATAGCTTTTTCCTTGAAGTTATAAGAATGCCACGCGTATATATTAATCTGTTTATGCATATCCCCTTCATTTCCACTAACTAATCGTGTAGAATATGGATAAGTGACCTGTATGTTTTTCACTCTAATATTTAATTGCTTGTATGATCTTCAAAAAAGCCATATATTTCACAACAAGTTTTTTTTTTTAATGATAGGTGCAAATGTATATTCATTCATCTTTTTTCCATGCAGAAATACAAAGCGTCGGATGACGAAAAGAAGAATTAGAGTAGCATAAAGAACATATAATATGTTACCTTACCTCCGTATATTCCCTATTTCTCTTCTCCCTCGCACCTTCAAGGCTAAAATCTTTATTTCTTTACATCCATTTTTCAGATATGCAATGATCGACATTGTTGCTACATCTGTATTCATATGATTTTTAAATGAATAATTTGTTTCGGAGCTGATTTACTGCAGCCTAGGGGATGGTAATCGAGGTAACATGCGTCAAGATTACGAGTTAGGGAGAGTGGTGATTGATCGAAAGGCATGCCTCTTTTGTTTTATGAAACACTGAGCCCGCTAAGCTTCTCGAGTAAAAATCCAAGCGCAATCAGACTCAAATGACAAAGCTAAAACTGCAATGGCACTCAACTTCAGCCTCATTCTACGACTCCTGTATTTGAGCTGGCCCATATAACACTACAAAATAATCAACTAACTGGGGATTTCTTAAGACCATAATCCAGCAATTTGCTTGCAAGCTGGGGATCACATGGGCATAGCATAGCAAAAAGAAAGAAAAAAATCTAAAAATTGTAATCAAGCTAAACTAACCTTTACCAGTGTTATTTCAAGCCACCTTTATTTGAGATTTTCCATGTATCTAGTGAGAAAAGGCAACGGGATAGGTCAGACCGTGGGTGGAGGCATGCTAACAGCTGGGGTGAGCTCTAGTCTAGATGATTTTATCAATATTTTGTATTAGTTTTATATAAAAAAAATTTATAATTCTCAATTGAATTATTAAAAATTTTAAAAATTTACATGGAGTCTTGTAATATAATACTTTAGCTTGAGTTAAAATTTTAAATTTTTTAAAGAAATTCAAAAATTTGATGAAAAATCACAATTTAACTAGTTTTATGTTATTGCATGTAATTTTCAATCTGACCTGTAAATTAAACTGAACTTTTATAAGAAATCTTAAAATATATTAAATAAAATTTGTTTAAATTTTTACGATGAACGAATCTTGGTAGTGCTAACAAAAAAGAATGTCAAGTAAAAACAAAACAACTCATTAAGGGTAAAATAATTATTTGCCATTAAAAAATAAAATAAATCAACTTTTCCTTCCTTTTATATATTTTTAATTGGGCAAAAGCAAAATAGAAAAAGAAAGAAAATAAAAGGCAAGAGAGAAAAATAAAGAAAAAACATAAAAAAATCCAAGAAAAAAAATGTAAAAGAATAACCTTGTAAACTTACAAAGTCTAATTTATAAAATATTAATCTATAAAAGAATTAAGCAAAGGAAGGAAGAATTGAGAGAGAGAGAAAATTAATTATTTTATTGATTGTTATTTAAAGAGAAAATTAATTATTTTATTGATTGCTATTTTATTCTGGTCAAGGGATTGTTGTAATATTAATTCAGATTCGATTATAGATGAATTATATTTCATAAAACATCGAATGATGTAATTTTAATAATTAGTTTATTTTTACTTTTTACTTCAATTTTATGTAATTTCAAATTTATTTTGTAATATTTTGGGTAATACTTTTGAATTAAAACTTTACTATTAACTTTAAAAATTTATATCTATAAATTAATAATTAAATTTGTTTAAAAATTATATATCTATTTAATAATTCAAAACAAGAGAAATTTCTAACTCTGCCTCCATCTTACCTGCAACAACTAGAAAAAGAACCATGCGTGAAATGCTGAGACCACGAGTAAGTTGCAAAGACTAAAGATAGTTAGGACTTCAGGACAACATTATTTCATATATTTACCACAACCATAGCAAGTAGTCGCTGCTGGTATTTTGAAAGACATGGCTCGCTTACTTACTTATTCCACTCTCTTGACTCTTATCTATCTATTTTAACGAAGAAAAGAAAAGTCAAAAAGCTAATGGACACGTAGACAAATATGTTGAGGAGCTCAACAAGTGGCCATGGCATTACTATAACTTGTTATAAATAAAAAAATAAAAAAAAATTAAGATTTAAAAGTATTAAGTCTTTCTGTAAAACTATATTTAAGAGTCTTGAGTTTGACTGCAATATCTGACCTAAAAATAATATCTATAATATTAATAATAACATTAAACTTGTATAACTAAAGTTTAAGTGAGTTTAGTTGTAATACCAAATCTAATAATATTGGATGTGGGTATGGCTGCAAAGTCATGTTATAAAAATATGATAATTAAAAATAAAAAAAGAAAAAAAACTAATAAAAAAACTAATGAGAAAAAAGAAAAAAATCAAAATCAATTAGGTTAACTCATCAAATTAGGTTAACCTGTCAAATATAAAATTCATTTCATGAAAGTGTGATAACTAAATGGAAAAAAGATTTAATATTAATGAACTATTTTTTTTTAAAAAAGATTAATTTAAAAGAAAAAAGCAAAGAGAAAAATACCTACATGAAGGAAAAAATTAATGAAAAAAAAATATGAATGAATTAGGTTAAACCATCAAATCTAGAATCTGTATCATAAAATCTTGATAATCAAACAAAAAAATTTAATATTAAGAAACTATATATATATAAAATAAACTAAAGGTATAAGTTTTTTCACCATGGATTGCATCGTGTTATTCACTATAAAAGGATTAAAAAGAAAAAAAAACATACGCTACGGGTTAATTTTTTTCTTATATGAAAAAATAAAATAAAAAAGCTAAGATCTAAGAGTGTTAAGTTTTTTTTGCAAGGATATGCCTAAAAGCCTTGGATGTTGTTGCAACGCTTAACCTAAAAATACTATTTATAATATTAATAATAATATTAAACTTATGACTTAAGTTTAAGTAAGTTTGACTACAACACCAGATCGTAAAGCATTAGATGTGGGTTTACCTATAAGATCATGTTATAAAAATGTGATAATTAAAAAAAAAACAAAGAAAAAACCAATAGGAGGAAAAAAAACTAATGAAGAAAAAGAAAAAATCTAAATTAACTGAATTAACCATTTAAACCAGGTTAATCCGTCAAACCTGAGATTTACTTTATGAAAACCTGATAACTAAATAGAATAAAATAATTGATGAGTTTACCTAAAATTAACCGGATTAACTCGCCAAATTAAGTTAACCCATTAAGTTCGGGATACGTGTCATGAAATTCTAATAATTAAATATAAAAAATATAATATTAACAAACTAAACTAAATGAAAAAATTAATTAATTTTTTTTGAATTAATTCATCAAATTAAACTAACCCATCAAATTCGAGATAAAAAAATTTATTAAAAGAAAAAACATAAAAAAATGAAATAAAAATTTATAGCTTCATTTAATTTTCAGTATATAATATAATATAATAATAATAATAATAATAATAATATAATATAATATATTAAAGATGGGAAAGTGAAAGGCTACAGTAGTTTTTTCAGAAAGGTTTTCTATAATATACATGTACTTACCAGGGCCAAAATAAAAGGCCCAACTCAGCTCAAGAAGAAAGCAGGAGAGGAGAGAGGAGGAGGGAGCCCAAATAAGCCCAAAGAAGAGAAAGAGGAGGATAGAGTGAGCTAATCTTGAAAACGTTGGATTGTTTTTTTGTTTTTACAATTAAAAGTATATTGGGCAGCGTATGGTCGGTTTTTAAAAATTTTTTATTTGAAAATATATAAAAATAATATTTTTTTATTTTTCAAAAATTATTTTTAATATTAATATATTAAATTATTCAAAAATATATAAAAATTAATTTAAAATAAAAAAATAAATTTTTTTAATTCAAAATTACTTTCCAACCAGGAAAACAAAGCCGCCCATGAGATGAATTTGTTAACTGCAAAACCTCAACCTTGCCTTTTTATAGTTCATCCACAGACTCAGATTTACTGCTTCTAGTCTTTCACCTCACACATTATCCTATTCATTTATTGTACGAAAAACGAACCAGCCAATTCTGGTCACTATTGCCCTTTTTAGTGAGCGGTCAATGTTAACAGCAAATTCCTACGATTTATTCAAAGATAAAAAAACCTAGAAAGTGGATAACTGATTTGTTTTCCCCATCAACGTGAAAATATTCTATGTCGTTGTATTTTTAGGCATTAACTTAAATTATTACTCAAAATATTCCGATATTTTTTATTTTCTTTGAACAATTCAATACCAGCTGCCTGGTTGTTTATTGTTGAGCCATAAACCAAAAGAGGATTACTGGGTTTTTATTTTCATTATCTTCTCTCTTTTTGCTGATCTTTGGTGTTTTTTAAGGATTCTTGATCTGGGTTTTTCTTATCGAGGCCTGCAAAGTTTCTTTATTATCAATGAGGTAAAGGATTCCTTTTCTGTTTTATTGAGGGTTATATGCTGTAATTCTGATATTTTGGGATTGAGTATAAGCTGAAAGATGGGAAATTTCTATTTGTCATTTCAAGGATTGATGAGCGAACAATCTGCAATATTGGAGACTTGTAGAGGTGAATTATTGGGTTTGTTGCGTATTCTGTGAAGATTTCTGTTAGGTTCTTTTCTTGCATGTCTATTGTCTAGTGCTGGTTTTGGTTTGTAATGAGGCAGTTTTAAGGGATTTTGATTTGATTCAGTATCACCTTCGTCAGCTCTGATATTGGAGCAAATGAGGAGTTCTTATGTCTACTCTTGTGATTTGACCATCAAAGAAGGATTTTGTTGTTGACCTCAAATTGATTTAAGCGAGGTTGACTTAGCAAGTTTTTAGATTAGATTGACTTGATTTATATGCTTACTGCATTTTGGATTTGATATTCATAGATATCTGAAACATTATGCACATAGACAGGGAAGAGCCTGTTGGGAACGTGGAGGCAGAGGAGATGGACGGAGACCTCAAGGAGGATACTCCTCTCGGGGATATCCCTATCTACCGCCACCGTTTTTTGGGTATGGTGAGGCAAAAAGCCTATATATTTGACGGTGATGGAAATTATTACAATAAAGATTGGGATTTTGCTGAACCTAAAGAAAACGAGTTTTGTCGGTACCATGTAGAGCTTCCAAAAATTAACCAGAAGCTTCCGCTTTTCGCACAAAGCCTCATTGACATTCTTTGCCCTCCTTTGAAACTCCAAGATATTCTGTCACTAGTTAGCAATGGACCCTTCTGTAGTCATGTTGATGGAGCACTTGTGTTCAGAGTTAATTCTCCTGGTCCTCCAACTAGCAATTATACATTTAGATTAGCTGCTAGAGTTACTGAGAATTCGGTGATTACCGTGTCACTAGGACGGGTTCCAAGATTGGGTTTCTCACCAACGAGTAAATCCCTTCTCTCTGAGATTCCTAGTGTAGAGACTTATTCAAGTGGTGGGCTGCCCTCACATAATGGAGGGGATCAAAAGGAAGGAAGTGGGTTTGTGATTAGAGAGCATGTTCTTGAGTTCTTATTGACAATGAACCACTCAGAGGAGGCTGATAATCCCGTGCCGGAATCTGTCTCAAATCTTGTTGTTCACATCATTGACACGCATGTCGATCACCTTCAAGATGTTACCACCAAACTCGAGATGGAGCTTGACTCTGTGGAGCTTGAATTAGATAAAGGTAAAATTCCTATGTAATGACAACTTATGGTCCCTGTTACAAAAAAAAGGCTGCCTTAAATGTACGCATTGTTGTACACTTACTATTTAGATTTCTTTTGGGTGAAACACTGTTAGTTTTGTTGCCTTTTTTCTGGACATGGAGATAATTACAAGTGTTGAGTTCATTCATTCTTCTTTAATGCTAATATATTTGCTCCACATTTCTAGCAACCCTACAATGGTAACTTTTTAAATTGATCTGGAAGAATTATTGTTATATACACTCTCTGCCATATGTTTATTTAGTAATTTCTCATCCAATTTTGGGCATGTTAGTTCTGTTATAGTTTTGGAAAATTGCCACCTCTTATACCCGGTCCTTGTCGTTTGTCAACAAGCAGCAGAACAAATGACAATTGGAGATGTCAAAACTTGTTGAAAAACCAAATGTTGAAATGAAATTTGATAGGATTAATCTTGTATTTGCAACCTTGATGGCTTTTCACTCTCAGTATTGAAATTAAATTTGATAGGATGTATCATGGATCAAACAATGAATCCTGGTAACTGCAGCTTACAACTTGGAATGCATGTTGTGATGTTTTTCCAGTGTCATGCGGAACTGATATTTTATTTGATTGGCTAATAAAAACTTTTTTGGGAAGAGTTAAGAGTTCATCAAAGCATTGCCAAAGTTCACTTGTGAATGGGGTGGGGAAGCTTGTTACTAAATGTGCTAAATATTGTGTCAAAATAAGAAACGGTTTGCAGTCTGAAGAAAAAATATTGACTGTTTTCCACATTGACGTGTCTGAATAAGAAGCTTACTTCAGTAAAGTTGGTTATCATGCCCAAATGATAGTTCCAGGACAGTTATCCTTCTTCATGTGGCATGTTTGTGCCATTCCACATGCCTAATATTTATGTACCGTGAAGTCCTTGCAATTACATGATGGAATCTCATTGTTACCTTAAAATCTATTTTCACTCGCAATAGATTTAATTTTCAGAATTTCTGCTTGATACCTCAGGTGTTATTCTTGTTAAACTAAAGTCTATATGAACTCCCTGGGCAAGAAAATAGGTCTACACAAAAGTCTGGATTGCGTGAAAAATTATGATAAATCAGCATTTCCATGGACCATCAAGGTACTAGAAAACATGGTCAGCAACAATTACAAGCCTCTATCTTTATCAAAGAAAGTATTCCCTTTTCTGTTGGTCCTGAAACTCAAATTTGAGGTGCTTTCTGTTTGTTACATGATTTCTTTCAACTTTTGAGTGGAAACTGAGTGTTGTTTTTACGGCATACTGCAGGAGGTTTCGCATTAAAGAAACAGATGCTTGATGATAGAAGATTTCCTAATATGCATCTTAATCTTCAACGAATATTGCAGGTAGTTTGTCCACCCTGTTTGATTTCTTGTAAATATAATAATAATTTTAAGTTGATGGGTACAGAGCCACATAAGTAGGTATTTAACTAATGCTCATACAAAATCAGTCTGGATAAGGTGTAAAGACCACTCTGCTAGAACAGCAGAAGGTGTGAAGATTGAAGTCCTAGATTGCTATGGTTGAATACTTTCAGGGGTTCATATTATGGAGTTCGAAGCACTTTATTTTGGACATTGACCATGGTTTTTAAGTGCTTTAGTTTTTCTCCAATAACATCATCTCTGCATTTTTTACAGCAATGCATCCTAGACCTTGATGTTTTTGGATCATTTCTAGGAAGATTGCAGCTTGTTAAATGTGTGTTTTTCTCTAACAAATATAAAATTGAAATGCATGTATTAAACCTTGTATTTTAACTGAAATCAGGTGATTGCACATGGGGAGCAAGTATTTCCACGAGTAAAAGAAAAATGTTCTTCAAAAAAATGGTTTTCCAGTGAAGACATAAACTCCCTAGAAGAGTTAATTGGAAGGCTAAGGAGGCTAAAAGAGAATGTGGGGTTTATATCAAATCGTGTCACGGCAATTCAGGCTGGTCTGGATAGCTGGCAGGCTGAGCAAATAAACAAGAAACTATACTATCTCTCGTTCCTTTCAATTATATTCCTCCCATTGTCAATCATCACTGGAGGTAAATGTTTCTCACTTTTTTTTTATCAGTCGTAGTTAAACCTTCTTGGATAACTGTTGAGAATCAAAATTTGATAATGCTGATATTTTTAGAAGCTCGTAACAGTCTTTGGCATGAATGTGGGAGGAGTTCCATGGACAGAGCAAAAGAACCCAAAGGAGAAAGATGGTTTCCGCAATGTGATGTTTCTCTGCGTGGGAATGCTAGTTCTCGTTCTTCTATGCTTCCTTTTCCCAGCTCTTTACACCCATATAGCTGCCTGGCGACGAAGGATGGCTTTGAAAAGAAGCTGGTCTCTCAATAGGAAATCTTTTCTCAAGAGAACTGTTCCGGTTAAAGAAAGAGGTGGTTATATTCGCCTTTGAGAGTGTAAGCCTAAGGAAGAGAGTGATGATGCAATTGTGGTACATGCACTTTTCATGCTCGATGTGATTCCAGTTGCGGAATTTATCTTCACTCCTGAAGATACATGTCCTAGAGGAGACTTCTCTCAGCAAGCCTTGATTCTGTTTCTTTTTCTTGATTCTTGAACGACATGCACTCTGCCGATAAACAATTGTCAATGTTATCACAGATCCTGTCTCAGAATGGTAATTCTGGTAGAAAATACCTTCTTCCTTTTCAATCTAGATAAGAGTTTTTTCGAAGGGCCGATTCCTTTTTTTTTTTGCAAGAACGTTGTTAATGACTGCATTCTTTTGCAATCTTTGTAACAAACTGTACAGATTATAACATTCATCGCACTGAATATGCATATAAATATTCAGAGCTTGTATCATCATGATTCCACTCAAACAATAATTGTGAATGCTGCTTGACATATTTCATTCTCTTGCCTATTTTTTTTTATCAGTGGTTATCCATTGTCTTTTATACACTGCCATTCTGATTGTAGAAATTACAGTGAGTAATATATTTAATTCAATCCCTATTGATATATCCGGGAATCAAATTCAAAAATGGGATATTGTTAAGAGATTGAAATTTATGTGGTTTAATAAATGAATGACGCATCAATCTTATTTTAATATCATTTCCAGGAAAAAAAAAACGAAGAGCCAATCTTCAGCAATTCCATGAATAACCATTTCGTTCTAGGGATCATGTGACAATTGACATCATTCTGTCTACTTGGTTTTTTTCTTTTCTTTTTTCAACTCTATATTTATATAATTATTGTTTTTTTCCATGAACGATTCCTTTTATTTATTTTATTTTTACAGTTGAAAACAGTTGGTGCCGTGGGAGAAAGGAGAGTCAAAAGAAACCACCCGTTCAAAATTCAAACATGGTATGGCCACACAAATGCTTGGTATAAGAAAAGCCAACTTTGCACTGCTATGAACCGCTCAAAAAATGGAAAAACTCCTAAATTATGTAGTAGCCATGGTCAAAGATGGACTCTTTATTCTAAATTAAAAAAGGATTGTATTGAAATTTGCCACGTATTTTTTCAATGTTTTACATTATGCCCCCCTGTCTTTTAATTTTGTTTTTACAATACAATTTAAAACCATATCTCATGGAATTAGGCAAAAAAAGATGTAAATGAAAAGAACAAAAAAAAAAGGAGTTGCGTTTTGCCGATTCTCCCTGTATCTGAAAGACCGAGTCGTTGACGGTACGGGATGAACAATAGAAGAACTGACGGTGGCTTAGGGATAGCAGAGCAAACGACAGTTAAAGAAGAGGTTTCAATTGCACTCTTAAGAACAGAGGGATGAAATTGAAAGGGGGAGCTACTTAATTGTTCGTAAAAAAAAGGATCAATTAAATAAAGTCTAAAAACATAATGGAAAAAATTAAAAAAATAATAAAAAAAGTAGCCTCATCGTCTATGTAAACAGTGATTTTAATAAAAAATAATTGACGAAATTGATAATATAAACATAAATTAATCTAATAATTCGATGACCCATATCCTTAAGCTCCAATCAGGAACTGGATGCACATGTTCGGTAACCTTTTCTTTCATCCAAGAAAAGAACAAAAAAAGAAAAGAAAAAAAGCCAGCTAGGCAGGCACCTACCCCTCTAGAGATGTGGACACTCCTCTTTCACTCACGTGACATGCAACCCTAAACTTCAATGGCCCCAAACGGCAACACCTCAAATCCCAAAGTGACTTCCATCTCAAAAGTTATGACTCGACATGTCGTTCAGGGCAGGCTTATTCATCAAGAAACCGCTTATGGTGTTAGTTGGTCCCCTACTTTCATCTCTATTACATTATCATCCTTAAAGTATCTTTTTATAATTTGATCCTCTTTCCTCGTTATGTAACTATTTGATCCTTCATTCAATTTTCACAAATAGATATATTTTAATTATAAAAATAATTTATCGACTGAGAAAAGGAAAGACACTAATGATTATTGAACTACAATTCACTAATATCATGAAAAAATAATATATGACAATAAAAAAATAAGAAAAATACTGAAATCATTTCATTCTGTAACCAAAGATTGTACAGTATAATACCATAACAGTTTCTTACAATGACTTACGGAAAGATCGCATCACCATAAAATAAATAGAAAATATAAAGTAAGAGGATGATGTTGAGATATAAAAATCAAATAACAAGAGAGCCAAAGTAAAACGCTTAAGAGAGTAAAGGGACCAGACTCGGCTTATAGTGCATTTTGTGTATTTTGCAGGAAGAGTATATATCTAGAACCTTCTACGATTGCCAGCAAAATCGTTTGCGAGTTGCGCCTCATTAAAAAGCCTTTGCTCCACAAAACCCTAAACCCTTCTTTATAAACCTCCAAAAAACTGTCCCCGCGTCGTTCTCCGCTTCCAATCCAAATTAACCGGTAGATCTCCACTTATGGCCACAGCTGCTCTCCTACGCTCTCTACGACGCCGTGACGTCGCCTCCGCTCCTCTCGCGGCCTACAGATCCGTGCGTCTCTCGTCATTTCTACTCCTTCGGTTTTACTAATTTGGTTGTTTGTTGATGGAGCTCAAACGAGACTTGAACTTGATTGAGAGATGAATAAAAGATTTAGACTTTTTTGTGATTGAGTTTTTGATATGGTAGTTTAGAAAGTTGGGCCCTTTAAGGGTTCATTTGTAATGTGTTTTTTCATTTGATATATTACATAATCATGCATAGCTGTTTTTCTTCGGATATTAAATACTTTTTTTTTTATTTGTTTTGTTGTTTAATTCTGAATGATCAGCTGAGAGTTATGATCAATGTAAATTTTAAGTACTTAGGCTTTTAGGCAATGATTGAATCGTTTTTACTTATTCTTGTGAGGATAAAAAAATTGTAGATGACGGTTGAAAAGTGTTGGTTTTTGTTTCACTCCTGGTCTGTCTATTAAAAGTTGTTTGCAAATTGAGGTTGAGATTGTGAAATGGCTGAGCTTTGGTGCTTATCTGTTGTGCAGCTGAGTAATAATGTGAAGCCATCGTGGGCTCCTTCTAATTTCAGCCATAATCTGGCTGGTTTGTCCAGAGCTTTCAGGTAGCTTGTTAAGTATTTTGTGGTTTTGATTTGTATTTCTGTCATTTGCTGTTCCTTTTGGTATGTTGAAGGTGAGCGTTTCCTCTTCTATGCAGTGCAAAACCTGCAGGCAGTGATGTTATAGGTATTGATCTGGGTACCACAAATTCATGTGTTGCGGTCATGGAAGGGAAGGTAAGCATGAATGGTGTTTGTTCAGATTGTTTATTCATTTGGTTGTTAGGCTTCCTTTTCCTTTTGATTCTAATTGATTCCATGATTATATACAGAGTCCCAAAGTTATTGAGAATGCTGAAGGATCTAGGACAACCCCTTCAGTTGTTGCCTTCACCCCAAAGGGAGAGTTACTCATGGGCACGCCAGCAAAACGCCAGGCTGTGACAAATCCGAGCAATACAGTGTTTGGAACTAAGCGTTTGATTGGTAGGCAGTTTGATGATCCTCAAACACAAAAGGAGATGAAAATGGTTCCGTATAAGATTGTTAGGGCTCCGAATGGAGATGCATGGGTTGAAGCCAATGGACAACAATATTCCCCTAGTCAAATCGGGGCCTTTATTCTGACCAAGATGAAAGAAACTGCAGAAGCATATCTTGGAAAAGGTATTACAAAAGCTGTGATCACTGTGCCAGCCTATTTCAATGATGCTCAAAGACAAGCTACAAAGGATGCTGGAAGAATTGCTGGCCTTGATGTGCAGAGAATCATCAATGAACCTACTGCTGCAGCACTTTCCTATGGTATGAACAACAAGGAGGGTCTCATTGCAGTGTTTGACCTTGGAGGTGGGACATTTGATGTTTCTATCTTGGAGATCTCTAATGGTGTTTTTGAGGTATGTGACATGTTTTGCTATTTAGGCTAACTCTGATTTTCATTTAGTTTGGTAAATTGAACCAAGTGAACGGTCCTTGTTTAGGTCAAAGCTACAAATGGTGACACATTTTTGGGAGGAGAGGACTTTGACAACACCCTTTTAGAGTACTTGGTCAATGAGTTTAAGAGAACTGAGGGAATTGATCTTTCAAAAGATAGGCTAGCTCTGCAGAGGCTCCGTGAAGCAGCAGAAAAGGCCAAGATAGAACTCTCCTCGACCACTCAGACTGATATCAACTTACCATTTATCACAGCTGATTCATCAGGTGCTAAACATTTGAATATAACACTGACCAGATCCAAATTTGAAAGCTTGGTAAATCACTTGATTGAGAGGACAAGGATCCCATGCAAGAACTGTTTGAAGGATGCTGGCATTTCTACCAAGGAAGTTGATGAGGTTCTTCTTGTTGGAGGAATGACTCGTGTTCCCAGGGTTCAAGAGATAGTATCAGAGATCTTTGGAAAGAGCCCTAGCAAGGGAGTAAACCCTGACGAGGCAGTGGCAATGGGAGCTGCAATTCAGGGTGGAATTTTACGGGGAGATGTCAAAGAATTGCTTCTTCTTGATGTCACTCCCTTATCACTTGGTATAGAGACTCTTGGTGGTATCTTCACCAGGTTGATCAGCAGGAACACAACAATTCCTACAAAGAAGAGTCAGGTGAGTCTTTAGTGCCGAATCTGTTTTCAATTTATCTGCAAAAATTTTAAGTGTGGGCAATAAGTTGCCATGCCTGTGCTAGTGCCCAGGCAGCCCTGGTATCTATCTGCTGTTCTTTGTGTTTCTGGGCCCAGTTACATATTTCTCTGATCTTTCTGTATGTAATCCCAGGTCTTCTCTACAGCAGCTGACAACCAGACGCAGGTTGGTATCAAGGTGCTGCAAGGTGAGCGTGAAATGGCATCTGACAACAAGATGCTGGGAGAATTTGAACTTGTGGGTATTCCACCAGCTCCCAGGGGCATGCCTCAAATTGAGGTGACCTTTGACATTGATGCCAATGGTATTGTCACTGTCTCTGCCAAGGACAAATCCACTGGTAAAGAACAGCAGATCACCATCCGTTCATCTGGAGGTCTTTCAGAAGATGAGATTGAGAAGATGGTCAAGGAGGCCGAACTGTTTGCCCAGAAGGATCAAGATAGAAAGGCCTTGATTGATATTAAAAATAGTGCTGACACCACTATCTACAGCATTGAAAAGAGCCTTGCTGAGTACAGGGAAAAGATCCCTTCTGAAGTTGCAAAGGAGATTGAGGATGCTGTTGCAGATTTGAGGAAGGCAATGGGTGGAGACAATGTTGATGATATCAAATCCGAACTAGATGCCGCGAGCAAAGCAGTTTCAAAGATTGGAGAGCACATGTCCAAGGGCAGTAGTGGTGGAGGTGATAGCGCTTCTGGAGGTTCACAGGGTGGCGACCAGGCTCCTGAGGCTGAATACGAGGAGGTGAAGAAGTGAGGGGTTAA